CAGAGGCGGTGCCCGGCCCTCCTTTGGGTTCCTTGGTCTTGGTGTTTTGCTGCCTTCCTCGAGTTCTTAAGTCTAGGCTCGTCGGAGGTTGATAGACCTCCTACCATGCCACGTCGATAAGCGAATTGGCCGTTTTGGGTTCGCGAGAGTTCGTCGCGGCCGTCATTTTTACGGGTCCAGGTCCGTCGGCTTAGGTCCTAGGCCGTTTTCAATAAAGGGAGGTTTACTAAATGGAGGTTTGTCCACCGCCGAGTTTGACATGGCGCGTTCTATGGATGCTGGGAGCAGAGGGGGGGGGGCTTGAACTGGGTGGTAGGCCCCTTGAGGTGCGTGTTCGAACTGGAGGGGTGTGGAGGGGGGGTTCGAGCCGGGAAGGGGGCCCTCCCCTGAGTTGCAAGGGGGGTGGGGTTCGAACCCGGGGGGCCCCCCCTTATGTCCACGGGGAGGGGGTCGAACATGGGGGAAGGGCCATTTTCCGTTTTGCAAACCGGGGGTTCTACTGAGTTGAAAGGGGGGGGCGGGTTCGAACTGATTGGCCCCTTCCTTTGCAACCCACGACGGCAAGTGCCGACGCGGGCGCCTGCGCCGTTAGGCAGCGACATCGAGGGGCCCCCCCGTTTTGCATCCAACGACGGCGAGCGCCGCCGCCGGCTCCCGTTGGGCAGCGATGACGACGACGAGAACGACGACGACCACGACCACGACCACGACCACGACCACGACCACGACCACGACCACGACCACGACCACGACCACGACCACGACCACCACGACGGCGACGACGACGACGACCACGACGACGACGACAACGACGACGGCAGGGGCGACAGCGGCGGCGACAGTTACGGCAACGGCAACGGCGACGGCGACGGCGACGGCGGCGGCGACGGTGACGGCAATGCTTCGACGACGACGACGATGACGACGATGCCGACGACGAGGACGACTGTGGAGGTTTTGAACCCGGGGCGGAGGCCCCTTTTGGCGCTGGCGCCGACGCCGTCGGGCAGCGACGACCAGGGGGGGAGGCCCCCTTGGCGCCGTCGCCGTCGGGCGACGACGACGAGGACGACGACGACGACGACGACGACGACGACGACGACGACGACGACGACGACGACGACGACGACGACTACTAATACGACGACGACGTCGACGACGACGGCGACGGCGACGGCGTCGGCGTTTGCGACGGCGACGGCGGCGGCGACGTTGACGGCGACGACGACGTCGACGACGACGACGACGACGACCGTAATTGGGGGCGACGACGGCGACGGCGACGGCGACACGGCGACGGCACCGACGGCGGCGGCGACGGCGGCGGCGATGACGACGACGACCAGCACGACGTGCACAGGGCCCCCCCCTCTAGAAGTTGCAGGAGGGGTGTTCGAAATAGGGGGAGGCCCCCATGCATCCGACGACGGCAAGCGCCGTTGCAGGCGCTGGAGGCGGCGGGCAGTGACGACGATCGGGGAAACGTAAGCTTCGCAGTGACGACGATCGGGGAAACGTTCGCTTCGCGTGCGCTTGAGCTCGGGTTCGCTTCTACGCTTTTTGACGAGCCAGGCCTGGACCTTGACGGTCCGCTGTTCATGGGATGTCTGCAGCGGAAGTTTGCGTCAAATGTCAGAGTGGGTCTTCGTCATTTTCTTGTCGCCCCCGCCATGCCAGGCCAGGTCCCCCGAATGCGAGTCTTACGTCTCGCCGACGACGCCGACGACGCCGACGACGCCGACGACGACGACGACGACGACGACGACGACGACGGCGGCGGCGGCGGCGGCGACGGCGACGGCGACGGCGACGGCGACGGCGACCAGCCACGACGACGTCGACGATGATGACGGCGACGGCGACGACGGCGACTGCGATGGCGAGGGCGAGGGCGATGGCGACGGCGACGGCGACGGCGACGGCGACGGCGAGGTCGGCGACGGCGACGGCGATGGCGACTGGCGGTGAGGACGGCGACGACGATGACGACGATGACGTCGACGACGACGACGACGACGATGACGACAACGACGACGACGACGACGGCGATGGCGACTGGCGACGACGACACGACGACCCGCACAGGAGCGGGGGGAGGGGGGCCTTGTTCGACCCCCCGTTCGACCTCCCAATCTTGCAACTCGGGTTGAAGGGGGGGCACGGCCTTCGGTTCGAAGGCCCCCCCCCCCCCCTTGCAACTGAAGGGGTGGGGGGGGGGCCCTCCCGGTTCGAACCCGCATCACCCTGGGCATGGCCCCCATTTGGTTCGATTTCCCCTTCTCTGCAACTCAAGGGTGGGGGGGCCTCCCTCACGGTCGGACCCCCCCTTGAGAGGAGTGGGGGGGCGGGGTCCAGTTCGAAATCCCGGCTCCCCCTGGCTCCAACTTGTCAAGGTGTTTTCCCAGGCAAGCGTCCACGAAACGGTTTCTCGCATTGCTTCATTGTTGCCTTTCCTGTTTTTTTTGTTGTTGTCTAGAGTTGTTACTGTCGTCGCGGGGTCCTGAGCCTTGATATCTTCCTGCCTACACAATGCAAAGCAATGCCAAGTAACGCCAAGTGTAAAACCAAGGAATGCCAAACAATGCCAAACAATACCAATCAATGCGAATCGACGCCATGCAATGCCAAGCAACGCCAAGCAATGCCAAGTGATGCGCCCATGCAGTTGGAAGCGTTTCCCTAGTTGGGATCGCACCGGCCTCACTCATTGAAATGAAGGGTTGTCGTCTTTCTCTCCGCTTGCCTCCTCCTCCCTCTTCCACTTCTCCCTTTGCCCTGATCCTCGTCCATCCCCTTATTGTGCTTTCCCATCCCCCTATTCTCTCCTCCGTCATTCCCCCCTATCTCCCCTCTTCTACTCTCCTTCTGTGTGTGCGCGTGTCATCACCCAGTCGAGTGATCAGCGGACATTCGACCCTTCGCAGCTGTGATGTTCTGCGAAACTGGAGGAGCAAAACGATTTCTCCCTCTTGCCTTCCCCCGCTCCCTTCAAAAGCAATATGGTCGCATTCATCCGTCAAGCAATGCACGTTAAAAAGAGGGCTCCGCAAGCCAGCCACGATCAACCCCATTAGCATTGAAACTTGCAGTCCATCGTTGGAACTGCTAATGGCTGCAAACTCAGCATACTCTCCCTTCACTCCATGTCCCTCCCCACACCTCTCCGCAAAAGATGCGGTGGAGGCCGAGATCGAATGCGACAGCGTTGGCCGCTGTTCCACCTACAGTTGGGGGATGGTATGAGATCGAGGTCAATTCAGAGAGGGTACCCTGGTGTTCTTCGTGCTCGTTGGATGCTCTTGTGCCTCCTGGGGAGGGTGCCTTTGGATGTACTGTTTGTCCTGGCCGACGGAGGGTCTCATGTTCTTCCGTGAGGTTTCTCTGTCCTAGGTCCGACTGTATCCGCCCTCCCTTCCGGCACAGGGGGATAATCTACAGTCGGGGCCCTGAAGAAGGAACCCTTTTTGTTGGAGAGGGGTTCGGCGTTCCTTGATTGTTCTTCAGTTTGCCTTCAGTTTTCCTGAGGTTTTCCATGGGAAATCGAAGTTCAACGTATGGGAGAAAGGGGCCCCGTTCCTTATTTAGGGTTCCTTAGGTCAAGGCCCCGACTGTACTTCGCCGATGGACCCCGCAGACGGCGTGGATGCTGTCCCGTGAGCAGCCTCGGATGGACGCCATGCGCGCCAGAAATGTGCTCGAGGCCCCGGATGCTCGAGGTGCTCAAGTACACATCTGGCATCGGGCAATCGGATGATTTCTTGGCATCGCTCGGACGTGTGCATGTTTTTTGTTGGAGGACACGCACGAAACCGGACAATGCACAGGGAATGGTGGACGTCCCAGCGACGGCGAGATGTGCGGCCACGCCCACCATCGCGGACAATAACCAGCGTTACGGCGGGGTGGTCAGCATGTTGTACAGTGGAAGCCAAGAAACACCCTGCTTGCCTCCAGGGTTCCCTGGGTTTCTCGGGTTTCGATAGTTTCGCCATGGACAGCGCGACGTTCCCACAACAAAAGTCGATGGACGTTCTGGTGCCTCAGGGTTGGGTTTCTCGTGGAAGGTTTCTTGTGGTCGGGCCCCCACTGAATAGTGGTTGCGCCCGCTTTCGCTTTGTCACCCGATTTTGACGGCGATGGTGGGGCGGCACACGGCGGACAATGTGCGGGCACCCCCGGGCATGTTTGTGACCTTCTCCTGGACACCGGGCGTCCGTTCCTGGGTCTTGGGCGGCCCTTCGAGCCAAGACGCAGTCCCCGCTGAGAGCGTATCAAGATCGGAGTCTGTATTTTTCAAGACGCTGCAGGTCTCTCCGCCGCCGGAGGTATCCGAAGGCCTCGGGCGGTCTCCAGAGTTCTCTTGAGGTATCCAGAAGCCCCCAAATCTAGGCCTCCTAGATGGAGTCGGATCAGATGGGGTCGGAGGATCGCGTCGCATCGCCGATGCATCGACGTCGTCGATGCGTCGCCGACGTCGACGATGCATCGCCAGTGCATCGCCGATGCATCGCTGGTGCATCGCCGATGCATCGTCGATCCTCCGACCCCATCTTCTCCGACCCCATCTAGGAGGCCCCCTAATTACCGAAGGTCCAAGAAGCACAGACAACCTGCGAGAAGCAGATCCCCGAGCTTCGAACCTCAAAGCCCACACGCGGGGGCGCGGAGAGAGTCACGCCTCGCACGTCGCGAGATCCGGGGCAGAGCGGTTGGGTCTGCCTCTTGTCGAGGGGCGCCCTGCGAGGCTGCGAGGACGACCGTGCAGCGCGGGGCGCGAGGCGCGAGGCGTTGGCGACCGAGACACCGACCAGGCCTGCTTCCATCCCGACGGCGCGGGCGAGGAAGAGGACGGCGGCGACGACTGCGACGACGAGGACGATGACGGCGACGGCAACACTGGCGAAGACGACGACGACGACCATGACGGCGACGGCAACGACATCGGCGACGACGACGACGGCGACGACGACGACGACGACGGCGTCCCTCCGCGCGCCGAGGGCGGCGCCCCGCCCCGCCGCTGGCCTCCCCGAGGGCCCCGTGCGGCGGGCATATGCGGTGGCGGCTGCCCTGGGCGCTGCTGGCGCTGCTGTGCCCCTCGGCGCGGCCCGTTCGATTCGAGATTTCGGGCCCGTTGCGAGGAGGAGGAGCGACGAGGAGGAGGAGGAGGAGGAGGAGGAGGAGGAGGAGGAGGAGGAGGAGGAGGAGCGAGGAGCGAGGAGGAGGAGCGAGGAAAGAAAGGAGGAGGAGGAGGAGGAGGAGGAGGAGGAGGAGGAGGAGGAGGAGGAAAGCAAGGAGAAGCGAGGAGAAGCGAGGAGGAGGAGGAGGAGGAGGAGGAGGAGAGGAAGAGGATGAGAAGCGAGGAGGAGGAGGATGAGAAGCGAGGAGAAGCGAGGAGGAGGAGGAGGAGGAGGAGGAGGATGAGGAGGAGGAGGAGGAGAAGAAGCGAGGAGAAACGAGGAGGAGGAGGAGGAGGAGGAGGAGGAGCGACAAGGAGGCGCGGCCCGTTCGATCCGAATTCTCGAGTTCCGTGACGATGCGGCCCGATCCGACGCGCGTGCCGATGCCACCCGAGCTCCCGATTCGACGCTCGGCAGCGAGAGCGCTCCTCAACTCCCAAAGGACCTACTCGCGGTAACGTGTGTCCGCCTCGAGGTAGCACACATATATATACATATGCATATACACACATATATATACATACATACATACATACATACATACATACATACATACATACATACATACATACATACATACATACATACATACATACACACATGCATGCATACATACATACATACATGTGTACGTACATACATACATACATGCATACATGCATACATACACACATACAGACATGCATGCATGCATACACACATGCATATATGCACATACATACATGCATGCATGCATGCATGCATGCATACATACATACATACATATGGTCGTACGTACATACGTACATACATACATGTATACACATACATGCATGCATGCATGCATGCATGCATACATACATACATTCATACATACATACATACGTACATGAATGCATGCATGCATGTACGTATGCATGCATGCATGCATACGTACATGCATAGACATATATATATATATATGTATACGTATAGACATATGTACATATATATATGTCTATATACACATATATATATAGAGATATATATCGTGAGTCCCCCGCGGCGGATCCCAGCCACATGCGAGCAGTTCTTTTGCGAGCAGGGGAGCGCGCCTGTCTAGATGGCCTTGTGCTGCCCCTCCAGGGCGGCGTGACGGAGTCGGAGCTCCCAGGCCGCGTTGCGCCGCTTGCCCGCCCGCCGCGGGGCCCGCCCCCCCTGGCGTCGAGGAGCGATGCCCGTGTCCAGTGGGGGCCCATGCCAGGAGACACCCTGCTTGCCTGGCATCGCTCGGACGTGTGCACTTTTCCTTCGGCGAGGACCATCGAGCAGCATCCTTGATCATTTGGCGAAAAAACCACGCACGAAACCGAACACAACACAGGAAATGGACGTCCGAGCGATGGCCAGGCCAGGAGACACCCTGCTTGCCTCCAGGGTGCCCGTGGCTTCCTTTGGCTTCGATGGTTTTTCGGGGGCGGCAAAGAGGGGGGTGATGACTAGGGGGGGGGTGCATATCATGGCGGGGGTCATGATATTTCCCCAGATCTCATGGCGCCTCTTCTCATTTCATGACGTCCCTGGCCCCCCCGCTGGGCCGCGCACACGCCGCCAAACTTGATTTGCACCCCCCTTCTCTTGGACACCCCCCTCTTGGCCGCTCCCGATCCAGGGTGCCCGGGGTTTCTTGGGCCTCGATGGTTTTGCGATGGAGAGCGCGACGTTCCC